CCTAGCACCAATCAAAATCTACCAACTACCTAATCACCTATTAGTGTAGCATTGCTCAAGCTGGATATAGTCGCCTATAGTCGCCGCGCAATTGAAGGCCAGAAACACACGATGAACACAAGAAGAGGCTCGTCCTCCTCATGCGGCTCTCCTTTAACCTCGGCTTGTTTGCGAGCTCAAGGCCCATGCGCAACCCTCATTCTCCGGCTTGTCCCAAATTAGCACACGATTATAAAATGACGAATCCTCATCTCCGGCTCCTATTTAGTCCAACTTGTAAGAAATAAAGTAGACCCCTTCCATTGGTTGAGGGGCCCAAACCTCCTAAACACCTCCCATTTAATTGTAATTGTATCAACTGATCGGGAGGTGTTGATCGTCGTAAACCTACCATGAGCAAAGGCGCCATAATCGGCGCGTCGACCGTCCTGGTGGTGGCGGTCGTCGCTGCCGTCTGCGTCGTGTCCTTCAAAGAAGCTAAAAATGAGGAGGACAGCACGGAGCTGACGACGTCGGTGAAGTCGATCAAGTCCTTCTACCAGCCCGTGGACTACAAGGCGGCGTGCGAGAAGACGCTGGGGGAGACGGCCGGCAATGCGACGACCACGACGGAGGCACGGAGCTGGCCAAGGCCATCTTCAAGGCCACCTCGGAGCGGATCGAGAAGGCCGTGCAGGAGTCCAGCCTGCTCAACGAGCTCAAACACGACCCACGCACGTCGGCGCGCTCAAGAACTGCAAGGAGATGCTCCACTACGCCATCGACGACCTCAAGACCACCTTCGACCAGCTCGGCGGCTTCGAGATGACCAACTTCAAGCACGCCATGGACGACCTCAAGACGTGGCTCACCTCCGCGCTCACGTACCAGGAGACCTGCCTTGACGGCTTCGCCAACACCACGACCGACGCCTCCGCCAAGATGCGCAAGGCGCTTAACGTCTCCCAGGAGCTGACGGAGAACATCCTGTCCATCGTGGACGAGTTCGGGGACACCATCGCCAACCTGGACCTGTCCATCTTCAGCCGGCGGCTGCTCGGGCACGACGGCGCGCCCAGGTGGATGTCGGACTCCAAGCGGAGGCTGCTGGAGGTGTCTCCCAGCGAGCCCGACTTCAAGCCGGACATGACGGTGGCGGCGGACGGCAGCGGCGACTACAAGACCATCAACGAGGCGCTGGCCAAGGTGCCGCTCAAGAGCGAGGACACGTACGTGATGCACGTCAAGGAGGGCACGTACAAGGAGTACGTGTCCGTGGCGCGCAACGTGACGAACCTCGTCATGATCGGCGACGGGGCCGGCAAGACGGTCATCACGGGGGACAAGAACTTTATGATGAACATCACCACCAAGGACACGGCCACCATGGAGGCGGTCGGCAACGGCTTCTTCATGCGCGGGATCACGGTGGAGAACACGGCGGGCGCCAAGAACCACCAGGCCGTGGCGCTGAGGGTGCAGAGCGACCAGTCGGTGTTCTACGAGTGCCAGTTCGACGGGTACCAGGACACGCTCTACACGCACACGAGCCGGCAGTACTACCGCGACTGCACCGTGAGCGGCACCATCGACTTCATCTTCGGCAACGCGCAGGTGGTGTTCCAGAACTGCGTCCTCCAGGTGCGCAAGTGCATGGAGAACCAGCAGAACATCATCACGGCGCAGGGGCGCAAGGAGAGGCACTCCGCCGGCGGCATCGTCATCCACAACTGCACCATCGAGCCGCACCCGGAGTTCAAGGACCACATCGGCAGGCTCCGGACGTTCCTGGGGCGGCCGTGGAAGGAGCACTCCCGCACCCTCTACATCCAGTCGGAGATCGGCGACCTCATCGACCCGCAGGGGTGGCTGCCGTGGCTCGGCGACTTCGCGCTCACCACCTGCTACTACGCCGAGGTGGACAACCGGGGGCCGGGGGCCGGGGGCCGACATGAGCAATCGCGTCACGTGGAAGGGCGTCAAGCACGTCACCTACCGGCAGGCGCAAGAGAAGTACACTGTGGAGAGGTTCATCCAGGGGAAGCTCTGGATCTCCAAGTACGGCGTGCCCTTCATCCCGGGGTTGCTGCCGCAGGAGCAGGCCGCCCACACTGACACTGAGCCAAGCTAGCGTTCATTCGGGGTCGAGGATGAAGATGGATTGTGGACAAGGGTTGTTAATTTTATGGATAGAGGATCGGTTGTACGTACACTGTTGTTGATGTATATCATCTGTGTATCGTCGTACAGTATATGTGAGATGCATGTCAATGTAGAATGTAGAATGCATGTGCGTGTACACTGCTCTTTCGGACACCCATGCTCACAATTGGACAACTTACGAATCAAATAGAACAGGATTTAAGACAGTTTAATTACCACATGTTGATCTTTTTGCTTGTGTTTATCTATCTAGACGTCTTGCAGTGCTAAATTGTACTCCTTCGAACACCGACTTTTTTTAAAAGATCCAGCTTCCTGATTTTCTTTTCAAACACTGACTTTTTTTAAGATCCAGCTGTTGCTGCCATTCATTTCATTAGCAGAGAGAACACCGAGTTGTAAATGAGCCAAACTCGGACCTGGATCCTCGCCAACAAGGGCATAAATAGATGCACTTCCAGAAAAAAGGTGATGCCAAATTGAAAAATGCCAACACATTGTCGCTTCCTATTTGAAGAGAGCAAACGAAATTATGTTCAGTAAAGCAAACAAATATTTCCTTTTATTCCGGGCAAAACCATGAGGAAGATACATAAGCAAGCAACTGTTGGAAATATGAGCAATTTATCAAATGATTTTATTAACAAAAATACTAGATAAAGCATGACTAAAATAGCAAATATAAAGCAAGTCATGCAATCTGACAGAGAGAAGGTAAACATCGTCTGCATATATGAACTTGAGCTAAACACATCTAGAATAGACACTAGATGAAGTTGCTTATACGAAACGGAATCTAACATACGAAGGGCAGAAACTAGAACCAAGAACTGTAACAGGACTTCTAACAGAAAGGAGAAGAACACGCACGGCACAGCAGCAGCAGAAGCGCTGGACTTGGGGTCGGTGTCCTCGCCTGCCATGTCGTCGAGGAGGTCGTGGACGTCGGGGAAGAAGTCGTCGTCTGGGAAGTAGTCGTCAACGACCGGATCGTCCGTGATGAAACAACCAGTAGTCGCGTTGAGCGCTCCCCAAAAACCTTATCACCCTTCTCCCGTACATGACTCAAAAGGTGCGGTCTCGGAGGCCTACTGTCCCGACGTGCGGTGCACGCCGCAAGCCGGGATGAGAAAGACAGCAGTAGCGCAGAGGTTGGAACTGTGTGGCGAGAGGAAGAGGACCTTCTGATGTATCTCTCGGGAGAGGAGCGACCTCTCTTATATAGGCACAGCAGAGGGACGCGAACAGGCTGCGTCGGGAGGTGAAGCAACGGAGGGAGACGAAGTGAACAGGCAGCACGCGAAGAACGCTCCCCAAAAACCTTATCACCCTTCTCCCGTACAGGACTCAAAAGGTGCGGTCTCGGAGGCCTACTGTCCCGACGTGCGGTGCACGCCGCAAGCCGGGATGAGGAAGACAGCAGTAGTGCGTGGCAAAAATTAGACATCGGCTCGGCTTATTCCCGCAACCCGCAACCCTTTTGTTCTCATGCTCATACAAGTGGGGAAGGAGCCTCCCTTATAAAGAGGTCCAACTCCCTCTAAACTAGCAATGTGGGACTAAATTTTAGTAGTATCTCTTGCCTTGCACAAATGGGCTAAGTGGGCCTCTAGGATTTATTAGGAATTTCTGAAATAGTTATTGGGCTGCCCCAATATAGACTAAATTCCAGCAGCAACAACATCATCAAACAACAGCATGGTACCCTTTGATAGTTACAAATACTGAATACACGACCTTTTTAACTTGTCAAGTCCACACTCTGCTCAGTGCTCCCGCGTCACTACTTGCGATTGGAGCGGCTCTATTAGATCAGGAAAAAAGCACACAAAAATCATACCAGGGACAGCATAATCATAATCATAACCATATGTGTTCCCTCTCAGCTGGTTCAGTTGTAGGCGTCCGGATTGGCGACGAGGTAGGCCTCGGCGGCCTTGAAGATGGCCGTGACAGACTCCTTGGCCTTGGTGATCTCATCGTTCACCTCCACGCCCGGCAGCAGCTTGTAGGTCGACTCCACCTTAACGACACTCCCACCGTTGGCCGCCGGCTCCACCTTGATGTGCGAGGTGGCCGTCTCGATGGCGGTGCCGATGCCGCCGCCCTCGATGAGGGTGGACTTGCACTCGCACTTGTCGGCGTCGATGAACTCGAGCCTCTCTTTCATGAGGCTGAAGGGCATGGCTGCAAGATCAACTGTGTGTTATGCTTTGACCCAGGATGTGTACCAGACTGAAGCTGGCATGAATTGTGCGTGACGTGTGGTACCTGAGGTGAAGTTGAACTGCCTGACACTCCCGATGTCGCCTTCGCCCTCAACGGGGTGGGCGCTGGCGACGATGTGTGGTGCGAGCTTGGGGGCTAGTGTGTGCCAGTCCATGACGCCGGCGCGAAAGAGGCGCGGTGCGGCAACCGGCGATTCGATCTCGTGGGTCCAGCTGTCGGTGGAGGCCATTGCTATGATGATCAAGGACGACCAGTACAAATGATGTGTTGAGCTGTGGCTGTTGTAATGGCGCACTGGGCTGCTTGGTTTCCTGGAGAGCGGAAGTGAGCGTCATAAATAGAGGTTCCAAGGCGGAGGTTGGTGAAGCTTGAACGGATAGGTGTGGTGAGTAGTGGGGGCTGGTGAAGGCGCCAAGCCAGGGTCGAGTTTGTCCAGATTGGATGACACCGTAGTATCATTGCAGGGTCTGAAAGCACGCCCTTTTTTCAATATATTTAGTTAACGGAGAAGACTCTGTTGTCCAATTGGCACCACGGTCCGCGTGAGCAAATTATTCCAGAATGTTTAGTTAAAGAATTAGAATGACGGACTCCTAGTCTCCTAACCAAAAGCAAGATATAGATACTTGGGGTTGGTGTGGAAGTAATGCATACAGCACGCGACGACGCGAGCGGCGACCATCAGTGACATGCAACCTCGCGTGTTAGACTAGCCACAATGATGAGTACTCCCTTCTTTTCGGTTTATAGGGCTCAATTTAAAAATCTCACCAACCAAGGTAGATGATGAGTGGTGGAATATTTTTTGTAGTTTGCAAAAGCACCTAATTAATGCTCTTGTTTTTCTAAAAAAAATATGTTTATCAATGCATTAATTGCAATGCATGCATGCATAAAATACATGCATTAGTCAATTTTCTTTTAGTGCTTGCATGCAATAATTTAATGCACCTTGGAATCTGAACATGTGATGGGGAACAACCAAATTGAGCCTTATAAAATGGAAAAACTAAAAAATTGAGATAAGCCTTATAAACCCTTATAAACCGGAAAAGAGGGAGTAACATACACTAGTAACATACGCATATCCCTAGACTATGTTACTACCTTCATAATGGGTAGTAATATAAGTGTGGTAACATGCGAAGCTTCATTTATTAGGTTATAGACTCATATTGTATTGGGACATGTGATGTTACAATAACTAGCTAAGTTACTATAACTACCTTTCTCCTCATTAACTCATTGCCACATAAGCAAATTTACTGAGTTGGACTCGATGTTACTGCTTAAGTTACTCCCACTGTGACTAGTCTTACCTGTAGAACTACGATCTGGCATGCATGTTCTGTGTGAACTCTCTTACTTGTACTAGTACGCAGTGACTTAGGATTCCAGGGGGGACGTTTAACTGCAAATTAATCACTGTTTCGATGTTGCTCCTGCAATTCAGATGCATGGATGCGCAAAGTTTCTCGGATGCATAGATAGGATAAGTTTCCATACAAAAATGCCTTTCAGATATTACCTCCTGTTGTCAAAATTAGTGCAACCTTCCGTCGTTGCGCGTTTTACAAACTCGACTATGGGCTCTAAGCTTGAAAAATACATCTTGACCGTACACAAAGTCGAAAAGTCTCTCGGAGACATGCCAACAATGCTGCGATTCTACTCAGCATCATCGTCACTGTTTTCAGACAAATCCACGTCTTCACCATACACCATTTCATCAATTTCATCTTCTTCCTCTTCATCAGATTGGACTGCGGCCTTCGCCGATACATCTTTCACATCCTTGTCAACCTAAGGAAAGTGAAACACATAATAACTTTATCATTGATAACTGTAGCAGTAGTACTAACTATTAACTTATTTTCAGCCTTATAAATGGATGAAAACCTGTGCCATTATCAGCCGAAGACGACCAGAAAGCTTCAGTAAATCTTCAGTTGCTGTGTATCTTTCTGCACACATCTGCAAAAGAAAGATCAGTTTTGCTTAGATTAGTGGCATGCCAATTCATGGCCAAACATCCAGCAGACAAAGACTGTCTCGTAGTTGGCATATCAACTTTAACCACATTGGTTGGTAGCTTATTCAAATTAATCATGTGATCCAAATAAGGTAAGGCACTGATGTTGCATTTCTCTCCCAAATAGATTAGGAAGCAAAAACACATGGCAGCAGTATTTACTAGTTTAACTACCATCTCCCAGATTTATCTTTAACTCTACGATCATCTGCTCAATGTGAAGCCGAAGTATAACTTGTCACTGCCAACTACACTACTACAGATACAACTTGAGATCCTAAATGAAAATCCATCTTGCGAAGATGACATGAAAATTCGAGATCTAAGCTATACAAGTGTAGGGGCAAATATCATCAGCACAAGAATGTGTTTCACCTTCCAGACTGTGCTCTTCACACTGACTATAGAAGGTTACAATCGTGAGTTTGCATCTGGGCTTTTTCACTAACAGAGGTTTCCTATAGGCCAATTTGAATGTGCACACTGTGTTCAATTGCAGCAGGTGAGTTCTCGCCACCATTGATACATCTTTCTCAAAGAGGTTGCCAGGAAACTACAATAACAGTTACATCACGAACATTCTGAACATGGTGCAGTGGCCAGTGCATATATGCGTTGTGCATTATCTAATACCAAACATATAGGTCAGTCGCTATAGCACAACCCTTCTCCATAACAAGAACAATACTAGTAGTACTCCATAATACAGTACACATAAGTACTTGAACCTTTGCAACTCATTAAGATGCCAATTTAACCACAATAGTTTGTTATCATCTATTTAGAAACTCAAGAAGTCTAATATCAAGAAAAATGAAACAAAACACATATGATTTTCACATACCTAAACTACAAATCTAGACGATGTCACCCCTCCTATTGGAGGGGGTATGTTTCGAATGATCTACAAAGCTCATGGGAGTGCAACAAGCTTCAACTAGTACCGCTAAGTGGTAAGAAGAAATAGTACCTTCTCCAGGTCGCTAATTAGTTTTCTTGATTTCTCCGAGGGGATAAAACGACCATGAATTACCAGTAAGCAGTATATCCAACGCAAAACAAGCTCAGCGCTACCAGATCTGTCGAGAGATACATATCAGCAACCAACACAGAATAAACGGTGGTGAAAATGTGCAGTGGTGAAAGACATGGATGCAGAGCACCTTGATCTCCATGCACATACTAAATTCTCTAGAAGCTTGCAAGCATCTCCAGGCTTTAAAGATCTTAGATGTGCTCGAATCTATTGAACAACAGAACACAACATCAAAATTGTACCCCTTCACATCAATGAATTAACTTCGATAGCTACACGTACATAGTAAAGATGCAAACAGTGATAGAACTTTAAGCTGAAACTGAGTTACCACAAACCTTCTTGCTGGGTAAATTAGCGTCAATTGTTATGCCACTGCTACTAAACATATCTGATAAGATTTTAGTGGCCATGTCAGGATGGCCGACGAGACTCTGATCAATGACGCCATATTTCCTCATCAGATCTTCAATGCATATGCTGTCGTTTTCAATTCTTTGCACTGGAACTAAATAAGGAAAATGGTATTTTAGTGATGTGACCAAGCTATATACTAGAACATTCTGAAAATAAATGATTCAGAATAGTAAATATAACAGGCACATCCTGGTTCTCCCTACAAAAAAGTAGTATAAAACTCGAATATGCTAATAAATAGCAATACATTACTCAAGTTGTCACAGAATTAGTTGCTACATCGTCCCACGTGGAGAACACAACAAGGTTATGCCCCTGCAGTTGATAGTTTATGTAGACTCCAACTGTTGGTTGTGTTTCATCACTTGCAGAAGAGGAGAATGTTGGATGAGTGAGCAACTCACATTTTCTGAGGGCCAAAGGCCATTACATATACATGTGTGTCAAAGTGCAGAAAACCCCTTATACAACGGGGATATACCGAAAAGGGACTATACACATCTAACACCCTCCCTCAAACTTATGGTGGATCAACAACACTGAGTTTGGAGAGGAAAAAGGTATGCTGCGCTCGAGTCTGTGCCTTCGTGAAGAAGTCAGCCAACTGTAACTCCGAGGGCACATAGTGAAGGGCGAGAGTCTGATCCTGCACAGCAGCACGCACAAAGTGGGCATCCACACCGATGTGCTTGGTGAGCTCATGCTTCACCGGGTCACGCGCGATACTGATAGCACCCGTACTGTCTGACAGTAAGGGAGTTGAGGTAGTAGCCATGACACCAAAATCCTCAAGTAACCATCGCAACCAGATCACCTCAGCCGTCAACATAGCCATGGCTCGCAACTCAGCCTCTGTACTCGAGCAAGAAACTGCAATATGTTTCTTTGTCTTCCAGGCAATCAGAGAGCCACCAAGAAAGACACAGTAAGCAGACAGCGAGCGTCGATCAGAGGGATCACTAGCCCAGGTAGCATCAGAGTAAGCCTGGAGCTCAAGAGAACCGGAGCGAGGAAAGAAAAGGCGCTGAGAGATCGTGCCACGAAGATATCGTAGAACACGGAGGAGGTGACTATAGTGGACAGAGGTGGGGGCTGAAACAAACTGACTCAGGATGTGAACAGGATAGGAGATGTCAGGACGTGTAACAGCAAGATAGACAAGGCTACCGACGAGGTGACGATAGCGAGTGGGATTAGGAAGAGGGTCACCATCAGAGGCACGAAGCTGAACATTGAGCTCCATAGGAGTCACAACAGTGCGGTCATCACTAAGAGCAGCTCGAGCAAGAAGATCCTGAATGTATTTCTCTTGAGAGATGTAGAAGCCATCAGAGGTGGAGGAGATCTCAATCCCAAGAAAATAGCGAAGAGGACCAAGATCAGTCATAAGGAACTGCTCGTGAAGGCGGGCCTTAACAAAGGCAATGTAATCAGTGTCGTCACCAGTGATGATCATGTCATCAACATAGAGAAGGAGAAGAGTCCGACCACGAGGAGACGTGTGAATAAACAGCGCGGGATCATGGTCACTGGGCAAGAAACCAGCCGCGGTCACCACAGATGCGAAGCGCTCAAACCAGGCGCGAGGGGCCTGTTTGAGACCATATAGAGAGCGGCGAAGTCTACAGACCATACCATCAGGAGCATAGTACCCCTGTGGTGGCTGCATATAAATCTCCTCACGCAACTCGCCATTGAGAAAAGCGTTCTGAACATCAAGTTGAGAGATAGACCACTGACGAAC